CGAACGGTTCACAAGAATCTGTCCGATATAAAGAGATTCCGGTATATACACGTCCGGTATAAACAGGTTTGACTGTAATTTAACGTCCTAGTTTTATAAAAGTGCTTATAAATAATTCTTATTGGCTATCGTATTGACCATTTGCAATCGACACTGCACTAATTGACAAACCTTGTAGTAATTCAATTAAATTACAAGACTATGACTATTGTGTAATAAGGAAAATTCTAATTCTTTATTAAATATCGATAATAGAACTTTGAAATAAATAATCCGTTTTCTTTTTCTATTTCCTTCTTTTCTAGATAACGTTAATGTTTTTTAACATTGAAGAGTAATGTGCATATACATATAACACTTGTATCTACTTCATACAAGTCTTGCATATTTGACTACTCAACAACGACAACAACAAACATGTCGGGGTAGGTTAACATTAATCGTCATCCAAATAATAGTCGATACAACAACAAATAACTAAAAGTTTTATTAAACGATCTCTCAGAGAAGCTTTTTTATCGGGCGTGGGTGGATAAACCCCAGTTAACTCAAAACGCAAACCTGATGCTTATTACTGCATAAGGAATTAAATTACTGCAATCAACCGTCCATATAACTTTATCTGTCTTTCTCACACTATTTAACTGTGCTTTGACAAAAAAGTACAGTGTTCGGCATGTTCTATCTATCTGTGTTTCTTGTCGCATCAATGAGCTGTCGATTAAAATTAGTTATCAGTGTTCATCAACATTAAAAAGGGTGAATGAAATTTGGCAAAAAGGCACTAAATCGTGTTTCATCCAAGTCACGCCAATCCGATTCACTGATAACATGGCGTGACCACTTTGCACATGCATCATGGTATAAAGTTTGTAGAATTCTGCAATATGCACGATTCCCTCGAGTTATCTTAGCGGTAAATGCGGAATAGCGCAAGAAAGGAAGCTTCTAATATGCATCAAGAAACTAATGTCCTATCGCTTGTATTTGTTGTCGATCAGCCACAGTAGAATCGAAGGTGCTTCCAAATATTATCCTGAGCCAAATTATGTATAGCGTTGTGTTGATTACATTGGGTCCTGTATCTATTACTATCGTCATCATCATAATCATCCTCCTCAACACCTCCTCACCTCTGTTCTTGCCAAACCCTTAATCTGTCACAAAATTCGTCCCTTAACCTACTCCCGGTAATTGTCCACGTGCAAAATATCCAGTCCATGCACGAGTATTTTATGCACGAGGTATTTTGATAGAAATTATAGTTATTGTATGTATGTGTCGAGAATAACTATAGAGGAGAAATGTGCACAGAACGCAGACACGGATTTCTTTTTCGATGAGATATAAACCCTCGATCATGCTCTTGGATCGATATTGTGGTCGTCAGAGACGGTCTATATTACGAAAGATATCGAGCTGTTTACGCACAAATTCTCTCTCCTCGCACATTCTCGGCTCGGCGTATACCTTTTACTTTCATTTCCTTAACCTGTCGAATTTCTCGATTGCATTCCCCTCGCCCATTCTTGATACTCTTACACATTTCGCATCAATGTCACTCGCCAAATTGTTCATCGTTTTCGTCGCAATGATCACCGCAACACACTCACTACCGACGTTGTTTAAGCGGTTTACAGGAGAAGGGACGTTCTACAATGTTGGGCTGGGTGCGTGCGGACAGACCAATTCTAACAGCGACTATGTTGCTGCTCTTGTAAGTTTGTGTGTCGAAAACGGAAACAGTGTACGAAAGATACTGGTGTATAGATAGACATATTAATATAATAATACATCAAATATAGAATGTACCACAGTGGGGCAACCCGCCAAATCCAAACCAGGCGCCTTTTTGCGGTAAAACAGTCACCATTACTGGTCCGTTAGGCTCAGTTACAGCTTTAATAACAGATGTCGTAAGTTTCATTTCTTCGATTCACGTTATTTACGGATATCTCTTGACACACTGTTTATTTTCTCAAAAGTGCGCAAAATGTAGTGACGGTGATTTGGATCTAAGTCCAGCGGCATATGATAAGATAGCCGACCCCAACGCGGGCAGAGTTCCTATTAATTGGAGCTTTGATTCACCTGCAAACGACCAGGATAACAGCGACAATAGTATTATTAACACCAACGGCAGTAGTATTATTAATAACAGCGACAGTAGTATTATTAATAACAGCGACAGTAGTATTATTAATATCAACGACAATAGTATTATTAATAACAACGACAACGACAACAATATTATTAATAACAACAGCAGTGATAATGGTATAACGAATCCTCCGCAGTAATTTTACGCACATACCTGTATCTACGAACTAATCAGTTTTGTAAAGTGACTTTTTGGCGGAATTCAATGTCCCGGGTGGATAAACAAAAATAATGTAACTCTGTTCGTTTGATGTATATTCCCCAATGTCATGTTTCGTAAATAAAAAAGTATTACTTGTTTTTGTATCTCTATATTTTTAATAGCTTGTTCTTGCGTGTTTACCACAATGACCAAGTGTATCATACTAATACTAGTACCCAGCCTCATTGCCTTGTACGGAAACATACCTTGTCATTCTGTCTCTTTTTTCTTATTCGTCTGTTGTTCACCGCATGCTCATCTGTGCTTTGTAACTTGACGATTTCCATCTAACCATTTAGAAATGGTCCAACCTAACACCGTCAAGCGCGTGGAAAGTATAAAAGGCACACAAGCCTTTTTTTAATCATACTCCGTCGGTCATAATTACAGACGAAAATTCATTCCTTAATTTCGTTTTCCCCAAAATAGTGCGTCTTTAAAAAAGACCATTATACACATTCATTACCCAATACCCTACCCCCTCCACATACACTACTCTCCGCTTGTTTGAAAGTCATAATCTCTAGACGAGGCGGCTGTCAAACATAGTAATTCCTTACACATCATATCACCAACATTTATTTCCCCATCTTTTCTCTCTACCATTCGAGTGAAATATGTATTCCAAGATTCTCTTTTTCTGTATTACCGTATCTATTCTTCTTAGTGGAAGTGCATCAATTCCACTCCAGAAGCGATCTGATGGCCAGGCCACTTTTTATGATGTTGGCCTTGGTGCTTGTGGGGTAACCAACACTCCAGATCAGTACATTGCTGCCGCGGTAAGAAAATGAGAGATAGAACATAGTCGTTGTTAACTGATTGATTGGAATTGGCTTGTGCAACTTGTCCTTTGTGGATCAAAAAATTGTTTGCGTACAACAACCAAAGAACGAATGATTGTCAAGTGCCAAAGTGCCAAGCAAATGCTGTGCTATAATGGACGAAACATTAATAATATTGACGCATGTTTATTAATATTCTTTTATTAACTACATGTATACTACTGTAGGGTGCATCCCGCTTTGATAGCGAAAAGCCGAACATCTGCGGTCAAAAAGCGTACATAACCGGGCCAAAGGGTTCAGTTACGGTTACTATTCAAGACAGGGTATTTAATAATTTTGCTATATTCGTGATCGTACACTCAACCCATAGCATTAATTGACCACCTGTTTTTCCCTTTCTACAAAGTGTGTGGCTTGCGGGTTCAATGATTTGGACCTATCAACGGGCGCATTTAATCAAATAGCAGACCCCAGTCAGGGCCGTGTATCCATCTCATGGACATTAGGTGGTGGCGGTGGTGGTGGCGGCGGCGGCGGTGGCGGCGGTAAGGCTGATACAGCACCAGCACCTGCAGCACCAGCACCAGCACCAACAACAACATCGACAACATCAACATCGACAACAACAACAACAACAACATCGACAACATCAACTTCGACAACATCAACATCGACAACAACATCACCAACGGATACTCCAACAGATACTCCAAACGCGAATAATGTTGCAGCCGCATTCTTTCTAGGTTCGATCATTGATGTGCCGAATGGTGCGACTACAAATGCTACACAACGTTGACCTTGATACTGAGAACATTTCCATACCTACATAGACTACATTAGATTTGATCATAGCCACATAAAAGTATTATATCACATACAGCATATCACAATTTTGGGAATGTTCGGCTTGTGCCTTTTTTCTATCTCAGTATTTATTATTCTTTGTTATAATAATGTATAATATTTACAGTTGCTTTTAACACTTGTCATATGTATCGTCCATTACTATCATATGGTCAATTCTCGGCCAACGAGAGTACTTCCGATCCTTTTGTGTGAAACAATTAAACAAAGTGTCAATTCTTTCTCGTGAGAATGCTCGTATTATTCGTTCATCCGAAAATAAAACCTGAAAACCGTTGTCATCTAATACAATAAAGTCAAAGTGTGGGAACACACGTTCTTTTTATCCAATCCCTGATAAGTTAGTGTTGATCCGTTGTCCCTAATCGAGAAAACAAGTTTGTGGGTAGGCTTTTGTCTTTTTGAGAATTTGTCCGGAATAGGATCTAATATAACAATGCCTTGCGCATGCTACTAGGGCTTTGCAAGTGAACGTTTGATAGCGGTCAGTCTATAACAGCTTGGATTCACCAGGAGAAGCAAAAGACTGTTCATAATACCAATAGTCTATTTTTTATAATCCTCAACAAATCTTACTAATGTCAACTCCAGCCCCAAAACCTCGTCGCCGTAATTCTTTTATCGGCCAATGGGATAATACAACGAATGTAGTCAACGTAAGATCAAGATATTACAGCACCGCCACAGATCGCTATACAAGCTCTCAAAAAGCAACATTTACCAGATGGTTAAATATCCAATTGCGAGCTCTCCCACTCGATATATCAAACTTTCCAGAGATAAAGGCTATCGACAAGGATTTTCGGGATGGTAAACTATTAATCCAACTGCTCCATGTACTATATCCCGAAGATACCGATTTGCCCAAGTCTGAACGCGGAAATACGAGACACCATCATATTGCGAATGTTAATAAAGTATTAACATATGTGCGAGGCAAGCTTGATGCCTCAGGTCTAGCAGCCTTGGATGCTATCGGTCCAGTGGATATCGTGGATGGGAACGTGAAGTTGACCATGGGTTTAATCTGGTTGGTGATCTCAAAATTTCATCATCTGTCTTCGGTTTTTGAAGTTGACCAAGTTGTTATCGAAGAATCAGATAATGAGCATGGAAGAGAAGAGAGTGATGACGTGTGGTATTCGAGCGGAGAGAGTGAAATTATTAGTGAGATAGTCGAAGAGGATGAGAATGTAGGAGAAAGTATAGAGGTGAGTGAAGTGGGTGCGGGTGTAAACGAGGAGAAGCAAAATACATCTGTGGATAAGGAGATATCGAGAGAAGGCAAATATGAGAATGATCCGACCAAAGTGAAGGATAAAGACAAAAGCACCGAGGCGGATGAGAAACAGAGTCAAGGCATTGACGGAAATCTTGAAAAGCTGCCGGAATCGACTGGAAAGGGTGACGAAAAAATCACGTCAGATATCGATGAAGCATATATTTCTACCGATACCGAACAAATGAAGTCGAGCTCTGCACACAAAGTACGTCAATTTGTAACCGAACCCGAAGATTATAGTTCATCATGGGGCTCATCCACGCTGCACTTACCACTCAACAGATCCCGCCGTCCTCTTCCCTCTCAATACGTTTCAAAACGAATGTCGATGCCGGCAAACGCTTTCGAAACGTTAAACCAGAAACCAACTCGCGCAGCATCCGGCCGTTTCCGCACACTCCATGTTCGTTCCAATTCGACGCCAGTTCACTCATCCTCAGGGCTTTTATTCTGGCTCAACGTCCAGCTTATTGACCTCGAGGCCCAGCTTCCCGGAGAATTGTATCCTGTAAAGAATTTTGAAAGTTTGAATGATGGAATATTATTGACTGCTCTCGTGCATCACTTGAATAAATTTTGGTTGGATGACTTTGAGTCTTTGATCAAGGAGGAGGAAGGAGATGAAGATGGAGAGGAGGAGAAAGAGGAATGTAAAAAGAGAAAAATAAAAAAGAGATTGAGTGAGTGTTTCACCGTATTGGAACAAAAGTTGAACGTAAAGCAACCGACAAAGTTGATCGAATTGCTTGTTAAGAGCGATGAAAACACGGATAAATCGGGCATAGAATGGAGTATGTATGTTTCAGAGATATTTATGGCCGCAACCAAGCGTCAGAAGATAATGAAAGAACGAAGAGCCACGCTTTTGGCTCAACAGCAGCAGCAGCAGCAACAAGAGACAATTGTTGAACCTGGTGAAGCAACACTTATCGAGTCTCCAGATCAGCCTGTTACAGAAGGTTCGATATCGCATTCCAACGTTGAAACACAACGTCCCCAATATCCACCTCAGTCAGTATCAATTGTCGACAAACCGCTTCCCCCACCACCAATCTCCCACGCGCCTACGGCCAACACGCAACCTCGTCCACCCGAATATCAACCTCTTATGCAAGCTTCCAAACGTGCATATGCTACGCGCGAGGTTCCTTCTCGATCAATACCAAAGTTTGATAACCCGACAATCTCGTCTCCACGTTCGTACCCTCGACGTCGACCGTCATCGCCACAACCGGCTTGGACGCCATCCTCATCAATAGTCGCCGCCATCTGGGAATGGACATCCAATTGGCTTGCAAACGAATTTGAAGACCAGCAGATGGACGATTTTGATGATATTGATGAATACGATAGGTCCGGGGCACGCGAACTGGGTCCTGAGGATATCGCACATTATGGGTATGAAGAAGACATTCCGCTGCAGCTATTGTTAACCAACATCGACCATTCGTCGATTTATTGGACACGTCGGCCTTAAGGAGAGTGCAAAGGGTTGGGGCTTGTTAGTATGGAATTCTGTATAAATAGGTTGAATCGAACGTGTTATTGTTATAAAAAGCCTAAAGGGAAGGAGCATACGTGATAGATGGATAATTTAATGCTACAAAATAATAGTTGATTGTCCTTCTCTATGCTGCAATGACTTTTCACAATGATTTTTTGTGTTTGTTATTAAGGCGGGCATTGTTATTCTCTTATAGTCGAAACAAGAAATTTAGGTTTTCACATTGTATAAATAAATCAAGTAATAATAAATTGTTACAAGACCTAATAAAGCGTCAGGGTTACTTCCCCAGGAGCACAAAAAATCTAACACACTCAGCATGTGACGTCACTTGTTATTTATACGTAAAGTTCTCAACCAAGATAAAGAATACTGTATTTATAGCGCGTCTTTCACCTCACTGGTTCTGCGGTCCTTGGTAATCCTTATGTAGACAAGTTCTCCAAGGTTTGCTATTAAATGTTGACTAGGTGAGTGTAAAAACTTGACTGCTTCTATGTCAGATAATATTAAAATGGTTAAACAATATAAATAGTAAACATTAATAAGAGATCGAACCCGTACATGTGTAACGCTAAATTTTTTTTCCAAACGTTTATGGATGATTTTTTGATCTCTATTTGGACGCTTATCTAACTATTTATAGTTATAAACTGTTGCATTTGGGAACGAAACTTGCATTTTCGAGATTCTATGTTGCATGCGCCCCATATCTGATTGCTTTGAAATCGTTTGAAACGAACGAATTTCTTTCAAAAATTCTAGCAAAAAGGCCTTGCGAGCTTGAATTCCACTTCAATGCCGCTTTACTTACGATACGGAGAACTTTCATGGCCAATCCACACGGTTCGTTTTTCAATATCATATATATTTGAAAACTCGATTTCTTGATTTAACGGAGAAAAGTGTTGGAATCGCTGCGTCTGTTATAATTGTGTATTCCGTATTTTCATCTGTTTGTTATACGATTCTCTAGAACATTACTGCCTTGCCATTAAACAATTCCTTTCGCGTCAAAAAGCGGTCAATCATTGTTACGTAGCATAATCAAATTGTCAAAATTTATCCATTCTTTATAATGACAAAAATGCTATATTAATATTCGTTTGTATATAATATATCTTTAAAGCATTGCAATTTTCTCGAACAATAATAGCGATGAATTATCCCCAAGAGGGATCGATAGTAACAACATAGCGTTCGAAATAAATCTGGCTATGGCCGGTGTAGCTGCGATTTGTGACGTCTGAATATCACAACTCATAAAGTTGTACACACTAATATTTATTAGGGGACGTCGGTGCATCTTTCTGTTTAATCAAGAAATCGTTAAGGGTAATTTTTATCTATAGTTTATTGATTGACTGATGTTATACGTATAAATAAGTACTTTTATTTCCTTCAAAGGCTATTTATTATCTTGGCATTTTAATTTTGGGTTTCAAGCAGATCCACTATCGTTATTGTCACAGATTAAATCTCTTACAACTTTAGCTTATGAATACGTCTTATGCACATACACTCGCTGTTACAACAATAGTTTATTAACATTTCAAAAGTAAATCATCGCTCTAAATGTACAACAGCCATTGTTGTAAACTCGCTGTTAAATGTCTCAAAAATGGAATGATATTGATAAAGAGTCATACTAATACTATTAAGAATACTACAGTTACATCATGCATACGATAGTGACATTTTTGTAGGACATCTCATCATCAAATTCATCAATCATTGATAGCAATACATATCTACAGTTCTATATATTATCAAGTTGTGAGCAACATACACTCCTTAAATACGTGTAATGCCGAACTGGAAGATACCGAAATTGAAGACACATGCATCCAGAAATTTAAGTCTACTTATACGGGAAAGTTTACCATGCTAGATAATGTTTTTTATTCAACATATAATTATTCATTTATCGTTTGTTTACATCACAATCTGTTTCAATATCCGACTGCTGATTTCTATTCCAAAGATCTTGTTATAATCAGCGTTAATAACCTTCATCCTTCATAAGCATTCGAATACTATTGCACTATACTCTAATCCACCAAAACAAGATGGATTAACAACGTTGGTAGAATTATTCGAAGAAAGAGAATTCTATTACCCTTAGGATGCAATTACGAGAAAGCATAATTTGCTCAAAATTACAATATGATTACAACATTTCTCTTGGGATGAGTTCCTGCAGAAGTCGTGAATGCATTCTAAGACTAGAGTTATCCCACGATAAAAATGCTAAAGGCCGACTCATGAAATCGATTCTTTGTATTAGGTCGTTCCCACAACTTTTCGATTCTGGCGAGTAAATTTTGTTCGCCACCGACAGTTTTGTTATGGATTTTAACTTCATCGTTTGAATTGAGGCTCCCGTATTATTCACCGTTACAAATTACGCCATTTAGCAACAGGCCGAGCGAAGCCAATAAAAGAATTCGCTTGGGGAATTGAGCAAAAAAAAATTTTTTTTTGCAAAAGTTTGTTGTTATTATTATTTGGATTTTGCTCAAGTTTTACTTTTTACAATATTTGGTGTGATTAGTGTTGGTTTTATAGATACGATTCGTTTATTGTCATGTTAATTGCGAATTTTCTGCACATTAATATCATTGGTCACACTCTGCATACTTCCTGATAAGACGTCATTGATTAAGCCGGTTAGTCACCCCAAGAAACTAAAAAATTTAAGAAGAGCTCGGGTTTGAGAAAGGGAAGGACTTTCTCATACCCCTCTATGCAAAAGAGGCGGAGCCGCGAAAGCAGCACAAAAGCTAACAACCCAATACTATAGCCGCACATCCCTCACTTTCCACCTTACGTAATATCCTCCATCCACAAACCCAACACTATAACCATTCCATGTGTTAACTGGGATGAAATTTTCCACAAACACCACCACCGGCCTGCCCTAATGTACAAAAAACGCTAAGGTGTAACGCCGCAAAAACGACCTGCTAGATCGGATGATGAAACAGAAAAAGCAAAGCTTTTGTTATGACTGTCTTCTGGTGCCGGTGAATTCTTCAACATAAAGAATCATCAAAACGTGGAAATTATCCCATTTCTTTTACACTCCTCGGGCAGCCAGGTAACGACTTTGTGACTCGGGCGTTGGGGACATAGAGTCGTGTACATAGGGTGGAGTAGACATAATAACATGTGCTTCTCATACTTATGACTCAACGTTGGGGACATAGAACTAGTTTCATTCACAATTACATTATTTGTTTAAGACCATCATGAACTCAATCTGAAAGAAAACATAGTACTAGGTTTTCTTTAGGATTTATTGAGATAACGTTATTGACTATAGCTGGAATAGGAATGCTTTTTTTCGTTTTCCGTTACTGACGTTCTCATTTTGTTGCTTTCAGCTTCTTAGACTTCTTTATCCGAGGATGCTATTAACAAAATCAACACAATATATGAACGCATGACGGCAGAAAATATCGAGGTCTCGTTAGTTAGTACAAAAAAATTTTAAATACACTGAAATCGCTTATGATAAAATGAGTGACAAAAACATGAAGTATACTCTGTTATTATTGGGCATGTACAACTAAGTCACATTTAATACAACATAGGAAACTAATCAACATCCACTTAGAGGAGGAGTTCAAAAGACAGGCTTGTGATATACTTGGTTATTTTGTGGATAATAATCATAAATTAAATATTTGCATGTTACCACTAAGAATGGGACAAGGATGTGAAGTTGATTCACTTATCATTAACAAGAAGCAAGTACAATGGATCTCATCAAGGTTGTGGAATAACAAGGCAGCTTCAAGAGATAGATAATTAAAAGGACTATGAAGAAAGATGATGTTTATAAACTTACTCTACTTTATTATTTATAGAAGTAGGGATGGTGATACAGTTGCAAAATTTAGAGAATTATGTAATAACAAAGGACTCACAGTTACCTATACTTAATACTGTTGGGATACTGGCAAAATACTTGGTGGATGCAATCCAATTGATGGGATTTGATCAACATGATAGTTATATTGATAGTAAAGAAAGTTTATATTTGCATTTGTTACGGCAAGCCGATCTGATGAATCAGATAAGTGAGTCACATGGTAAAATCTTCCTCCGCAGTCAAGCAAAAT